CTTCGAGAACCAATTTCTCGTGGGCCTCCACCGGTACACCGGCCGCCACCGACGTTGCTCGATGAGCATGGGTGTCGTCAATTCCATGTCGAGAGACTACTGAAACGACGTCGTCGTCAGGGCCAATATCAGTATCTGGTAAAGTGGCGTGGGTACCCTGAGTCTGAAAACTCATGGGAATTTGAGGTACCCCTTCGGCAAGACTGCCCATATGCTTTGGAGGCTTTTGAGCATCGTGGCCATGGTCATCGCGAGGCCGAGGCCGTTCACCACCACTAGTGGTGCGGGTTGGCGGGTTGTTGGTCACAGACTGACCAGCACTCGCGGCTACCTTAGTAGCCGAAGCATAGCGCGTGCGCTTGCGCAATTGGCCTCTGGCCTTAAGCTTGGCATAATCATACCGAAGCTTGCGTTCGAGACGCACATCCGCCGCATGGGCACTAGCCCTTAGAGCAAAAATGTTGCTGAGGCGACGCACATAGTGCACCCAGTGAACAAAGGCATCGTCTTCTTCACTCGCTGTTTCGCCTGCGAGCAGGAGAATGGGTATACCCTTCATCGGTGGAACTGGTGCACCACGTGCTTGCATGTCAAGGCGTGCCTTGTATTGACTTTGAGTCGTTAGGTGCGGCTCCAGGTACCTCTCACGAAGTGCCTGGCAGCTCACCACCTCCTCAGGAGTCTTAGGCCCATGGCCAATGACCCACGTTGCCAATGTTTGGCCGGCCGCTTGACGCAGACGTTCCTCCACACTGGGTGGGGTGAACACATAATCACGCTGGCGTTCAAGGGTTGCAGTCATCTGTGCATAACGCTGAGCGTTTTGTTCTCTTTGAACAAGCAGTTGTTGTTGCTCATCGAGCGGGTTCGCGATGATAGTCTCATCAAACCCAGATGCTGCACGCTGCGCTGGCGGCGCGCTCGCACCTCCACGTTCAGCGAACGGATTTGGGGTGTTCGAAAGTTGTGCCTCAGGCATCAGTGAGCCGGACGTTGTCCCTGTGTCACCGCGGACACTGGTATCGCTACCATAGTCCACCTCTTCCTCTATTCCGAGGTAGTCACACAGAGCCTTTGACTCGTTTGGTGATGAGGACATCGTGCTAGAGCGTACGTTACCGTGAGGTTCACCGTACGCGCACTGTTCTCGCTGAGAATACGAGTTCGATTGACGTTTTGGGGTAAACGTCAGTCTGGTGGGGGAGGGTGTAACGGGGTTGCACGAAATCATGGTACTTTGTACCAGAGGTGTTACACACCTGAGGGTTCGCTTCTGTGAAGGTGATATAGAATATCTTATCGGTTTGTAGGGGCTGACAAGTGTCAGCCATTAGATACGAAAGATCTTTGAGTAGGATTAAGATATTCTATAGGCTTTAACATTAAATAAAATCAGTTCCCATTTTGATCTGAAAGACGCGTGGCTTGCGAGCCGTCTTGATCGTTGATCTCTGATCACTAAGAGTTAGCAACACCTCCTTGAGGTAGCTACTCTTGAGCACTAAGTGCTGTCGATTCACTGAATCGTTAGGTCCCCTGGAACAGGGATCTGAAGCTGTAAAGCTTGCTGACTCGTAAAGTCGTTAGTTCTTTGGAACTAAGTTGCTCGTAGAGCGTTAAGTCTTCCTCTGACTTAAGGAGCTGTGTAGCTCCGCTACAGAGGCCCCATTTTATACATGGCATGCTACAAGAGCAAACAACTACCGCAGCCACTCATTTTTGATTTCGCCACGTCGATTAGATCGAGTGCTTGTGACTCATTTGTTCCGACTCACAGCATTCGTCAAGCGATCGATGGAGGTTTTTTAATTGATCCCGTCAACCGTCGCAATCAAAATTGCCTGAGCAGTCTTACAATCTCGGAGCTATGTCGTCCATTACCTGTTGTTTCTGTCTAAGCATCAAGTGTTGTAGCTGGCGCATCACTTTAACTTTTGCCAGGGGTCTCAGTTCAAGTGCATCAAGTCCTGTTGCTACTTACGCCTTTCACTTCAGTGCTAGTCATTCGGTCCTTCCTACATTTCAACCTCTCACCTTCTGAAGAACAGCCGTGGTCGTCAATTTTGTGCACATGCGCTAGTGTGAGCTAGTTAGTCAGTAGTGATGCGTACCATCGTTCAGCATTACAGTCGTCGTTTCGATTGAATGGTGGTGTAAACAGAGGCGCTTGACCAAGAACACAAATGCGCCGTGGCATCGCGTGGCTTCATAAAATCCACTGTTCCAGAAAAAGGGGATCCAAAAAATGAGTCCTTCTCCAAGCTCGGTCATCCCCATTTTCCAGATAAGGGGTACGAACTTGTAAATTACGACCCCTCAAAGCTCGCGCTCGTAAGTTACGCCGCGACCACACGGCCTCGTGTGGGTTTTTCTTCGGCCGCCCTCCTCGTCGTCGTCGTAATGTCTCCCAATCCCTTTTTCGCATCCGTTAGACTGTTGGATAATTGTAACTGACTTTTTTTTCCACCACCTCTCGACCCAAAAAACCACTTCATTCAGTCCTTCGAATACAAAGACAAGCGACTCCGAATACTCCAGACGACGTGCCCTAAGACTCTGTCGCAACCCTCAGTAGCAGCTCCAGTACTAGCGCCACTACCGCTAGCATGACGGAAGCTTTCATCGGCTACAGCGAAGACTTTGAACAATGCCGCGACGAGGCCGTGGCGGCGATCCGTGCGGTCTCGGCAGCCCGCAACTTGACGGAGCGCAATGAGCTCTCGGGGCGTGCCCAGGGCCACATCTCGGAAGCCGAGCGCTACATGCGCATCCTCGAGAGCGAGTCGCGGGCCGGAGACTCGCAGGACCGTCGACGGATGCACCAGCAGCTGCGCACGTTCAAGTCGCAGCTGGACAAGCTCAAGGCGAACCTCGAGCGCTCGAAGCTCATGGAAGGCAGCGAGCAGCGTCAAGACGCGCGGGCGCCGCAGGACAACGTCGCGCGCTATCAGCAGCGCGCGGACCGCATTGAAGACCACTTGGCTGACGCGCAGGACATTATTGCACGGACGGAAGCCACGGCGCAGAACGTGACGACGAACCTCGCGGACCAGCGCGAGCAGCTCATTAACGTCCGCACGAACGTACGTTGTTTACGGTTGTGTTGGCGGTTGAGAGGAAGACCGAGGTGGTTGCTGATTCGAATGGGGATGCACATGTGTTGATGCTTTTGCTGTGGCTGTGTCTTAGGTTGATGCGACGCGGGAAGACACGGCTGAAGCTGGGATGCACTTGAAGAAACTCAAGTGCAAGATGATGTCGCAGCTCTTGTTTTTGTACTTTGTCATCTTGGGACTTGTAGCAGTGATCATCTGGCAAGCGATTTCTAAGTTTGCGTAGATCAAAGGAGAGAGAGAGAGAGAGAGAGAGAGAGGAGCAGACAGCTTTGCTCGTGTCTCATTTTCGCGCGGACTTTGTGTGGAACACGCTGATGCTCGTGCGCGTATAGCTCTTCTACCGTGTAAAGTGCTGCATGGAAAGAGATGGATGGCTGGTCGAAAGGACACAGGTGATTTGGTAAGACACGAGTGAGTGTTTTAGGTGTAACTAAGGACAAGGTGAAAGCATTTCGCAATTTTGAAGACTTGAGCGATTGATTGTGCTAGCGTTGTTCGGGAATGTGCGTTGCGTTTGTAGCGCATGTGGGTGAAAGCACTTGGTGATTACAACGAAGGACGTTAAGGATGCTCGAAGCAGCTCAGCCGGGTTTGTTGCCTGCGGTTATAGTTGAGCAGAGCCCAATGCAATGCTCGAGGGTTTGTGTTTTGAGGTTCCGATTGTCGGAAAGCTAAGACGACGGCTGTGAAGAAGTACGCGCAATTTGCTCGGGTGTGTGTGCAGGACAAAGTGTTGCAAGGCCTTGAACAACTAAGACGGCGTCGTTGTCAGTGCTGCGTCACAGCAGCCATTAACAGTCTGGAAGGAAGTGTCAAGAAGCACCATGTTCTAATGACAGCCACACTAATTTCTCGTTTTGGGCTAACGTCAACCTTGCACCGGGTACAGGTTGTAGTGAAAATGTTCGCTTTATCCTTTTCACGCCTCAGGCAAAGGCTTGTGAATGTAAAGACATGTTCGTATGGAGGTACAACGTCGAGGCCGATAAATGATGATCTGCTCATTTTGAGTAAGTTCAGACCTACGACAAACACTTTTGTGTCAAGTCTCACGCACGGACGCGTAAACACGCTTTCTGAGTGACTTGTTATCATTTGCCGACGTACGTGCTGATATTATAACGTGACTCTATCCCAGTAAATAGACGCAGTGCTCGCTAACAGCGAACATACGATTCGATGTATCCATACTTGGCGTAAATTCAAACCCGGTAGAGCATGTGCTAACATTGTTAAGTCGTTAAAGTACTTGCACTCACGTTACAGACCTGTTATAGAGAGGGATGACAACGCTTGTCGCAACTGGCTCTAATACCTTGTGACACCATATCGTGATTGCCCATAACGTCGTACCCATTTCAATAGATGCCTCATACTTACCGTGCACTCAAAACCGCACAAGAAAGGCATGTTGACACATCGGTGTTTCTACCATGGCATATTGATCTTGAGACCGTGTCTACTCCGATCCAAAAAAACGTCACTGTAGTAGATTTCTGCCTCAACAATAATGCTGCGTCTTCATAGCGGTTATTGCTTCGCACGAACATGTCTCTACGGTTTCATACGAGAGGTGGACGTGTTAGTATGTGACGTTGGTAACTAAAGTCGATTTGACACAACGAGTTCGGTAAATGGAGTCGAGGAAGGACAAATCGACGCAAGGGAGTCACGCATTTCTGCGACTAAGAAGCTTAGCCTGACGTACATTCATTTGACGGGAGACTCTGATTCGGCCACGGATGGACGACAACAGAGCGACGTGCAACAGACAAGTCGATTGCTAGCAGCATAGTGCAAACCACGTGAAATCTGCCAACACGCACAGCAAAGCCTCTGATAAACCGCGGCGTACGAACGGTTGATTAACATACTATCCTCCCTCTATGTGGACTTGTAGTGAGTCAGTCGATACAAAAGCACACGCCCTCTGGCATTGCCAACAGCAAAGTAACCGCTGTTCGGACTGAAGTCCATTGCCGAGACGTAGTGCAACGGCGTGTGTGCTGTCGGCCAGTTGGCAAAAACAGTCAACGACGGCATATGGACCAGTTTTAGCGAGTTCTTGGTGCTAGTTGATGCCATGGCCAGAATCTCCGAGCTGGCGTTGAACTGGAGACAATCGACCTGAGTAGTGAGATGCATCAACGCCTTGCGTGGTTTCGGCATAGCCGTCGGACCTGCATTGTCGTAGATATTCACCACACCACTTTTCGAGCCGGCGGCGTAGTACTTGCCGCCAGCCGCCAGAGCGTGATTGCCCAAACTACCCTCATCATCGTGGACAAACACACATCGCCGGGTACGCATGTCCCACTTGTACACTTGTCCATCTGAACCGGTGCTTAGCAGGTATCGATCATTTTCGCAAAACGCTGCCGATTGAGCCCCTCCATTCATCTTCAGAGTTCCGATCGACTCGTACGACTTGGCGGACACCACATCCATGTAGCCATTACTTCCCACGAACACAATCGTCTCTCCATCGTCCGAGACCACAAACGTATCGCGCTTCTTTTCTTTCCGTCCATAGAGGCCCAGTATCTTAGTGATCTTGCCCGCTTCAATGTCGTAAGAGAAAAAGTACTGACGAGGTCCCGTCAGAACCGCACGCTGACCACCCAGCGTAAACTTAGCGTCCATCATAGGCAAGTCCTTCACGAACACACTCTCGACTTTTGCATTCTTGCTGCCGTCCACTTGGAAAAGACGCAGCGTCTTGTCCAACCCTGCAGTGAGCATCAACTGTCCATTTGGGTGAAACTGCATCGACTGCACAACAGCATTCGATGGTGCGTGTTGATTCGCATCTTTCATGCGAACTACCTCGAGTTCCCCCTGGGGCACCGCTTCATTAGACGAGTACAGCATCTTGCCAGTACTACGGACGAGATCGGCTTCGTCTTCATTGTCACTGTCGTTACCGTCCACGAGCTGATCGCCCACGAAGTTTTTAGGGTCTGCCCACAATGCAGTTCCATGTCCCGATTGGTGACTGTAAAAACATCAGAGCGACCACAACATCATACCACAGAAAAAGGCCGCTATCGTTACTACACAAGACCACAGCAGACATTGTTCATCCATTTCTAAAACATTTAGAAATTTCGAAACGGTCAGCAGATTGTGTACACCACACCAACGTACAACGTCTTGAGGCGACTCTGCAGCTCTTTGCCACTCACGACCGTGTCCCGATCAGTCTTGCGGTGCTTGCGCAGCTGCGGCTGCGTCTCGAGATTCACCTGCACGTGCTCGTCGTCTTCGTCCACCCACGCGGCCTGGAGCTTTGGCCCGCTGAGAGGGCTCGGACGCTGTTTCTTGCGATTGTGTTTCGTCTCGCTCGATGCATTGGTCGTCTGGAAAACGTCGCTCACCAGGAGCTTCTCGGCCTCCGAGACGGGCATCACAGGCGCGCGCTTGCCCATACGTGCAGAGTGTTTGTCAATTGCCACTGCGTTGGCTCCGCCTGCCTGCGTCTCGTGACCAATCACCGCTTGGTACCGTAAGTGTACCACAAAGATGGATCAGGCGATCCCACAAGGCGGGGCGATGTCGTTTCTCCATACTTTACCCAAGTCACTGACACCCATGCAGTCGTCACCCGATTGCGTCGGCCGCCGCCTCTTTTTTTCCCGCTTTTTCGATTCGATTTCCCTACATTTCGCTCGTCCTTGTCGCAGTCGCTCATTCTCGAAAGTGCAACGTAGGACGCAAGCGCGACCCCTCACGTTGTCGAGTCGTGCGCTGCCCCTTTTCTGCTCCTTTTCCATTCGGACGTGGTCCACACTAATCCACACCAAAACTTCGCAGTGGGTTGGTTGCCTCTGTGTGAAAGATCGAACACAACAAGTCAACGGCCTGTTCTTGTCCTACACTTTTGAAGCCATGACGTGCTCGACAGTAAGCAGCATCAAGTGTGCGCGCCATGAGATGAGCGCGACCTCGCCCCGCTCATGCTGTCACTCGCCATCGTCGATTTCCGATGTGGATTTCAGTGGCCGAGCGATGAACAGCTCATCGGTAGCAAACGACAAGGTGCGGTGACGCTGGAGTGAGGGTTTTATTGGCTCGTTTCGAGCTCGTTTCTAATGGATGTTGAGGTTATTTGTGGGCGGTGTGGATTTTGTTACGTGTGTGTGCAGCTTCAGGTCCATGTCAGAAGAGACGCGGAATCAGGTGATGAGCTTGAACAGCCTGAGGCTTCCACCGGTAATCCCGCCCTGGCTTCGGGTTCCGTTGATATTAACGAGGTTCTTGCCCATCGTGTGAGCAGCTCATCGTTGATTAAGCGCCAAGCAGCTGCTGATGAAGATCCCGACCAAGCAACGGGTGACGACCCGCCACGAAAAAAACTAAAGTCCGATAACAACCTGTCGATGGTCCTTTCTGAAGCGGCAGACAGTGACTATTTGCCGAGTGACTATGAAGAGGGAGACTCTTTCGAGTGCTCGGTATCTCGTGGCTATGACTGTACTGCTGTTGGTGGCTGTGAAAGTGTTGAATTGGATGTCACTGCTGATGTTGCATGTAGCAGTGAGTCAACGCGTCGCCGCAGCCGTCGCACGCTCTACATTGAGTACTGGAGTCGGACCGACGAGTGCAAGGAGCGCAAGTGGGACCATCTCGACGAGATCGCAGACAAGTATGGCTCTGCTGAGGAACATATTTTTGCTACGACTCTGAAGGGTAGGACTGCGTGCCTCGAACCCAACATGTTTCCTTATAACACTCCTGCAGGCATTGAGCACTGGACACTCTGGCACGTCAAGGACTTGAGTCACGAACAGGTGAAGCTGTACGTGGAGAACTGGATTGATGCCAATGCGCCGCACGTGATGCGATGGAACTACGATGACAACCCAGAGCGTTCTATCGATATTTTTCACGTGCACGTCTACCTGCAAGTGGCTGGGGAATCCACGGTGCTGCAAGAGCGCAAAGTGGATGATTTGGTACACGAGCTTGACTGACTGGTTGTGCTGTGGGTAGGTCGCCCGCACGAACGACCAGGTGAGTATATCCGTAGCTTAGTAAAGACGAATGACGTATTATGATTACCTTACGTGGAGTTTGCTATTGTTCGATCGTCCGAGAGTAAGATGCTGTAACGTTGACGCTTGTCCGTGCGTTGTAGGTAGTAAGCGGTAGCAAGTGAGCTAGTTGTTTGCGTTACCATCGCACGACACTCGACGTGACACCAGGCTGCAAGAAGACTTGCTTTGCAATGAGTCATACAGTCACAGCAGCATTACAGGGCATCGTTCAATGCGCAACTAGCCACTTGCCTTGAATACATTGTGCTGCAAACGCACGTGACGCATGGAGTAGCACGTTTTGACCACTAGTATTGCAAACCTGAGCTACACACCACGTGGGTGCGAAGCTTGTTCATTCAAGACTTCGTTGCTACAAGTTGCACTTTGAATTACCACGTATTGACTGCTAACCGACTAACTTCGCCGCTATAGTGCAAGCGCTCTTGTGAATACATCGGACATTAACAACGAGTACAGACATGAGCTGTTGTAGTAGCAAATGAAGCGGATCAACTGTAGCATTTGGAGGAGGGAGATCATATCCGACATTGAGCTAAGATGAAAGCACCCTCGAAAAAGGTGAAGGAGCCATGGAAAAGTCTCGAAAGGTTAGCGAACGAACGACCGCAGATCGACACGATGGGATCAGAAAACGTCTCTGCGAATCAACCCACAACACGCCAAGATGCTCGGTGCTTCCCGTCTCAAAGAGATCCCGCAAAAAGTCTGACGCCGTCCGCATTCAAAAGCCTTCCAGAAGCTTCGCCGGGGCTTTGACAATAGGTATGTCGATGCACCCATGACTCAACGTAAGCCTCGTTTTAGCTGGAAAAACAAGCCGAATGCACGATGGCACTTGAACACAAGCAACATTCGGACCAACAAAACCAAAAAGCATCGTCCGAGCCTCCAGATTCATAATCCGCTCGCTTCCCTGCAGCTTTTTGTTGACAAGTGCAACATACCCAGTCGCTCGACTCGACGCTGCCCCGCATCTTTGCGCCCTGACCGTCTCTTTTTCGCAGCCACAAATGATCGACAAAGACGTGTTGAGCTTACAGCAAAAGGCCATGGCCTTTGAGATTGCACGCCCTCGAGCATACAGGAGTTGACTCTCGTCGAAAAGGATTCGTTCGATCTCCAGCCACCTTCCATCTGAGTTATTGTCCATCATGACGCGACCAGCCCTTTCGCCCCGGCTAACACGTCAGTCTGACAGGTGCATAACGTACTCTATGTATGTAGACCACCAACCTCGAGCTTCGAGCATTGAACCTCGGTGCCACCTCGGGTCGCTGTTATGACACTCCGATCATTTCTCATTTCCCAGCTGACCGTTGGAACCCCCGCCAGGCTTTTGAACCCAATCCAGTTGTTGCCTTGGATTCGCAGTCAGTCGCATGGTCAAGCTCTACACCCCGTCGGTGCCCGACACGTCGAACAGGGCCAAGGTCCACCCCATCGACATTCTCATTATCGTCGCCGTCTTGTTATTCACGATGGTCGTCGCGGTCATTGCGTCCGTTCAAGCTGGCGAGAGTCGCTTGACGAAATGCTTTCCCTGTCTTCAACCTGCAAAAAAACGGCCTTTGCCAAAGCATGCAATGGCCGAGTCCCCTGGGGACAGCTACTTGGTTTCAGAGACCACGCCCTGCAAGAAACGACCACTGGGGGACGAGAGGGGGTCTACCATCCCTCACGCCCAACCTTCCACCTCGCTCATTGCACGTGACGGACGGGAGAAGCAAGTCAATGAAATGTCCAACTTCTTCTTAGCTGATCGGGGCATGCAGTGGTACTTTGTTGGGGGCGCTCTGTTCGCCAGCAATATCGGGGCTGAGCACTTTATCGGAATGGCTGGTGACGGAGCCCGTCGGGGTCTTGCAGTCGCAATGTACGAGTGGTACGCAGCCATCTTGATCTTGTGCTTGGGCTGGATCTTCTCTCCGATCTACCGTCGCTCAGGTGTGTATACGACACCGGAATTTCTGGAATACCGCTTTGGGGCCCCCTGTCGTCACTACTTGTCCCTCGTGACGGTCGTCATGTACGTCTTGACAAAAATGAGTGCCAGTATCTACGGTGGCGCAATCGTCTTCCAAGCTACGTTGGGCTGGAACCTCTACCTCGGTGCTGGTGCTTGCATTACACTAAGCGCTTTGTACAGCATTGCTGGAGGCCTTCGAGCTGTTATGTACACGGATCTGTTCCAAATGTGTGTCTTCACTCTGGGTGGACTCGTGATCTTTACGTACTCGGTCAACCAGATTGGCGGCTTTCAAGGTATTGAGGCCAACTTGGCGAACCAAGACCGCTCAGACTGGTTCCATCTCTGGAAACCAACGGATGACCCGGACTATCCTTGGACAGGTATGATCTTTGGCCAACCGATGGGATCAATCTGGTATTGGTGCATGGACCAAGATCTGGTCCAGCGCGTGCTGTCTGCCAAAGACACGGCGAATGCGAAAGCAGGCTGCTCGTTTGCTAGTATGCTCAAGATCCTTCCACCATTTCTGATCGTCATCCCGGGCATCATTGCTAGTATCTACTTTGACTTTAGCAAGATTGATAATGGCACCGACGCTGCGTACCCGACCTTGCTCACGGAAATGATGCCGCATGGTATTATTGGCCTGATGATTTCCAGCGTCATCACTGCAATGATGTCGAGTTTGGCTTCCGTGTTTGCAGCAGGCTCGTCGGTTGTCACCAACGATATTTACCGACAGTTCCGACCAAATGCTTCGACGAAGCAGCTCGTGTGGGTCGGCCGCATGAGCATTGTCGTCTTTGCCGTGCTGAGTTTCTGCTGGATTCCGATCATGCGCAATGGAACAGGTCTCTACGAACAGATTGTTGAGATTCAAAGCTACTTGACTCCACCCATTGGGATCGTGCTCGTGCTAGGTGTTACCTGGCAGCCTGCCAATGTGTACGGCGCGTTTTCGGCTATGGTTGTCGGTGGCCTGCTTGGTTTCTCACGTCTTATCTTTGTGACGATCAAAGATGACAGCATGGATGGCGCATTACCGGGATTCCTGAACACATTTTTCTACATGAATTTTCAGCACTTTGCTCTGTTGCTGTGGGTCACTGCCATGATTGTGTGCGTCGTGGTCAGTCTGCTAACGCAGGACAAGAGCTTGCCACCGGAAGTGGTCCGTAAGTACATGATTCACTGGGACAAGGTGCTGAAGCTAGACGTCACCGAAGTAGCCAAGCCCACGTGGGTAAATGTGCTGGTTGCTGGTAGTGGCATTGCCGCTCTTGCCATCACGTTTTCCATGTGGATCTATTTTGCTTGAGCTCGTGAACGAGAGAGATGGAAGTCGGTTGGTTGTGCGGTTGCTACCATGTACCAGTAATCACGTAACGAGTTTGTTTCGTATGAATCGCTGTCTTCTTATCGGATTCATTCCACAGCAGCAATGGAGACTGAACTGCTGCTATTCTCAATGAAGATGTACCCGTTCTCGTCGATTCTTGCAACAAACTCGGAAGCACCAGCGTGCCCTCTCAATCGAATCCGAGCATGAAACGACTTCTCTGAAGCGCTGACATCAACAACATTGGTGCACAGTATAGCCTCGCGAGAAGCGTAGAACGGCAGTAGCTGCTCCAACCTCGACGCGTATGTTCCTGTTGCATCGTAGAAAGCGTGTTGGGCGTAATAGTACTGGAAACTGACGTACCGCACGCCCCATTCAGGATCAAGTGGTACAGTCTCGTTGCTGTCTTCTGTCACAGGCGGGCTTTCATGTCGCGGACGAAAGTAGAGGTATCCCCACCACTCTGGACGATGCATGTCGACTGCAAACTGTGCACTCCACGTCCAATTCTCCTCGCTTAAGCCCGACTCCTTTTCGTAAACCTGTTTGCCAGTGTCTCGATCCGAAACAACACGAACAGGCCACTCAACACGTGAGAAGTTGATCCTCCAAAACGATGTCGATACGGGCGGAACTTTGGCTTGTGAATATCGAGCAAGTTCCGACAATGGCAGCGCAAGTTCAGCTGACCAGTAGTGCAGGCGCTCAGCTGCAAACATACCGACATTTACTCGATAAGCAGGTGAAAGCACCATCACAATGAAGGTTATTCCTGTTCATGTTCCATCAAGTAAGACGTACCAGGGTCATTGATGGGGCCTTTGACATAGACCGCCGAGCGCATTCCACTGCTCAACATGTCAAACCCATGTTGGGGATCAACGCGCGTGCTGTTTTCGTGACCACCGTCTCGGTAAGGACGATTAAGCCAGAGGTTCCACGTCGCATTTCGAGCATTGAGCTCCACTTCCTTGTAGTTGTGCGTACTCCCGTCAGCATCCACAAACACTTCAAAGTCGTTGTCCTGGAAGATCACATCATTGTCGTGGGATGCCTTGGCCCACACCTCGGTTTCTTCCACGTAGACGCCGATGTAGAGAAATTGCTGGTCGTACCGGAGCTTGAATTTGGTCGTGAACCATGGCTGGGACCAGAACGTCGGACCTCGAATGTCTTGAAATTCCTCGCTCCACGGCACTTGAGTCCACGCCGGTTCATCCAACAGTCCGTCGATGGAGATACTTGGCACACCTGATTGATTCAGGGAGTGAAGATGATACGCTGCATACCGTCGGGGGTGGAAATGGTTGAAGGCACAGGAGCTCCTGGATCCGAATGGACTATCGTCTGTTCCTGAGGAAGAAGAAGAAGAATGGATCGTTCCGGAAGACAGGGATGGCTCTCTTTGTTGGAAAGTGTCAATGGTTGAGGGTGGAGAAGGAGAGCCTTTCACTGCATTGGAAGGAGGCAGGAACCATGAGGCGAACAGTAACAGGTGAACGATGCCGTGCATTGGTAGGCACGGGGAGAGGAGCGGTTACGGGGGATGTGAAGCTTCTTCGTTGAGACCAAACAATGGTCTCAATTGCAATAGGGACATGCGGTGTGGCTCCTCTTGGCTCATTCAGCTGGAATAGCAAGATTAAGTAAAAGGGAAGGTCCGTGTCCGACGTAGCGCGATCGAATCATAGACCGTGGTCGATCGCTTGGGCTCGAAATTACAACGGACAGTCGAGTTTGTGCGAACGATACTATTGCTCGTTACAGCTTTGTCAAAAGCTACGGAAGTCACGTTTGCATCAAGCATATCGATGCAAAAACTAAGCATCCTCAACCTCAATGCAGCATGTGACGTGTTTGCATGTGAGCGCAACCACGATTCATATGTGCTGTCAGTCGATCATTTGCTGCGGCATCAGTATTGCTGGTCGGGCTATTCAAGCAGCTACTTGATTCGCGATTGATCTCGCAAGCTAAAGTGTGAATGACAAACAACAGGGGTTGTTGTGCGCGCGTAGCTGCAATACTTGATACGCAGCTTCGCCAACCTGAACTGTAGAATCACAACAGCATTGATTTATTCGCGAGAAGAAGAGCACAGCAACAACGATGTCAGAATTACTAAGATGGCAATTCTTACCAAGAACAGATTGCTGCGAACAGCGTGTGTACATGTGAGCCTTTACCCAGTTCAAGATTTATCACCATCAGGGTCTCCTATCGATACTTTAGCAGCGAGCAGTCAGCTCCATCTGCGTCAAGTTAATGAGCACGGCAAGATGCACTCGAAACATAAGCAATATTCAAGCTTGAGTCTCCTCATCTAACCTTTTTTGTGCATGATGCAGCTCCTTTCGTCCTACGTCACCCATTACAACGTTCGTATACTTCCACATGCTTGTGCCTTTACAACCACAACTGTTTTGCTTTGAGCCCGGCTTTATCGTATACCTCGCAATATCCACTTTACCGCTGCTGTGCTGTCTCGGGTCGTCGTATTACGCTAGTGACAGAACAAATGCTATGTTTTCGATCCGTATCTAGCCACGATTGCTTGTTTCTGTTGCTTTAAAGCTACTTGATGACGCGTCCTATGCTTGTAAAAGAAGTCTCGATTCTTAGCCTTCTCTTGAAGTCACGATCGCAATTTGCTCGTCGATGACCTTCCAGACAAGGTTGCATCCTGCATTTTACAACGCAAAGGGACCGTTCGTGGCGAAAATGAAGGCTTGTCTTGCCCATGTGGTGAATAGTACGCGGAAGTTCGGAATTGTCGTACTCGAAAAGACGCGCTGCAGCTAAGTGCACAAGATCGATCAAAAATTGGTGTGGCAAGGCCAAGTCGCCACTCGAAGGATGCTTCATGAAGACGTGTGGCCCATCGATGACATTCATTTGTACTTGCTCTCGTTACGAAGCTGGAGTTGGCACCTCGTTACAGTCTTGCCACCGAGTTGTGATGTATGTCGGTGAAAAACTGCCAAATCGTGTCTGCCAAGTCGGCATAAAACTTTGTGTGTCGTCCTGGAGACGGGAACTTGTGTCCCCCATCGTGCTCAATGAGCAGTCTCTCGAGCGGACTCCCGCGGGCATGTGGTGTGTACATGTCTTTTAGTACCAACGACTCTTTATACAAACTATCCTTCTGTCCTACTACATGGATCGAAGGAAATGGCACGAGTATCGGCTTCCCATCGTTCTCCTCGAACAGCTCCCGCACATTAATCCCTCGTGGGTACACGCCGCACACACAAAGCACAAGCTTCCACCACGGCTTGGTAGGCGTCTTTTTGTGGTACCACATGGACAAGATGGTGAGCATAACGGCACCTTGTGAGAACCCCACGGCCAAGTCAAACTCGCCCAACTCATTGAGCTTTTCGTCCATACTTTCAATGGCTTGATCGAAGCCCTCGAACACATGACACCAGCGTGCTGCGGTGCCCTGGGGAACACCATCCTGAGCTTCAATATCTTCTATTTCCTCGTTTTCCAAGTCCCTCACGATCCACCATTCAAAAAATGGCGCTGTATCTCCAAAGAGCTTTTCAACAATCGCATCGGTTGGTCCACGAGCTTCGAATGATCCGTTGAGAAAAATGAACTCAGCATTTGGTCCCAATGCGTCACGAAGACCCCGTGTCTGCGTTTCCATCACTCGGCAATTGGTGCGAGCGCCATGTAGACACAGGACTCGGAGCTTCGTGGATGGAGGCGAAGGTGAGGAGGACATGTGGCTGAATTGTAAAAGTGTGACTTGACACGCAATGCAGGACTCGTCGTGTTTGAGTGACTCGTTTTTAGGGGTGAACCGGATTTAGGACTGCAGGGCGGCGGCCGATGGAGGACGTAATCACGTAGCGATGTCGACTGGACCAAATTTGCGACGAGAGACCAAATCTTATAGTCATTAGCTAATTCGGTTGAGTATTTTGCTAAAATGACGATACGGCGGCTGTATTGAGCTTGTTTTTTAGGTTAATTGGACCGAGCAATTTGGGATTGACGTCAGAAAGCTCGCCAGCGGCCACGCACCTCTGGATAGCCATGTGTCGTACGTCATTGAGATCATTTATATTGCCACCATTACGAAATTACGCCGACTGCTCCACTCTTCGTCACTCCAATCGATTGTATGTAGAAGACGTTTTTAAGCTTTGTTTATAATTTAGGTTGCGCCTTACAGCAGTATCATGCGTTTGCTTTGACTCGACTTGTCAGCTACTTGTCGGTCGATTTCTTGTCCTGTGTGTCAAATTCACAAGTAGTGATTGATTGTTCTGTAGCTGCTCTTCGATGTTGGAAATGCGTCAAAGAGGACAATACGAGGAAGGGAGACGAAGGAAGTTCCTGCGCCGTTGACAACAAAGTGCGGCCAACGACATCAAATTGGGTCCTGGAGAAATGAATCAAATCGAGGGAGATTTCTCTGCCATCAAGCGAGGAAGGTGATCATGAATTGTATCCTGTTCCATTCTCCCAAGTACGTCACATAAAGCCCACGTTACATTTACTGGTTGCCGGAGGTGCGTAACGTTCGCCGCCTCGATGTCGAGCAAGTTCTCTATTAGCGTGGTCGCCTTATTCACTTTTGAGTCAGTCACGTGCAGGCACTAATGCGTAAGTGACTTGATTCTCAAGTCAGAATCGCAACACAAGAGCTTCACCGAATCTTCGGTGTATAATTTTGGTTTAACCGCTTGTCTTCCGCCTTCCCTATCGCCGACTGACCTCGCAAGTGGCAAGACTTGCTTGCTCCTATTCCTTCCGTTAAACTACTTGTCTATGGTACGCATATTCACGTCCCACATACTTCCCATAGTTCCTACATGTAGATGACCGTCCCTGATGCGAAGGCGCACGCCTAAGCCTCCTTCCCAATCACCGTTTCTCATTGTCATCATCGTGACTAAGTGGTATCATCCAAACCCTATGGACTCCAACACTACGCGGTCACGTTCAACAAACTAACCACTGGATAAATCTATCATGCCTATCCACCTATTCGGAGAAACCATTGTAGGCAGTACACCACCTTGCGCACCGTCGCTGATAGCGTCTCCCTTTACACTCGCAAATTTACCCATTGAGACTTCTTCACACAAAATGCGTGTATTCTTCAACACTGGATACGTCTCGAGGTACAAAGCAATGGAAGAATGACGAGAGTCTGCTCGATTCAATCCGTTTGAGCATTTGAAAGACGCGGTCTACTCAGAGTATTGCTTGTCACTTCGCGACTTGCCACTGGTCGCCTCTATGATCGTGGTACCGTTCCCGATACAAAAAGACGAATCCAGTGTACTGCTGTTGCATCCACATGGTACCGACGGGCGCGACACATCCACATGTGCTCGGTACGCTCAGGTACATTTGCCGTTACCGAGTTTGCCCATCAGGCCGTCGATATTCAGCATGACGTTGCCTTGGCGATTGGCTACGAGCACCTCCGACAGCAAACTGTTTGACGTGTCACCTGACACGACAGCCCTCTTGTTCTTCGCTAGTGACCCGAGCATCTCGAGCTTCTTCATCTCCAGCTCGTGTCGACGGTAGTTTACCAATTGACTGGCTGCAGCACCCTCGGCCTGAGCGATAAGCTCAGCTGCTTTTGACTCGGAAGTCACGCGGATTCCACTCGATGTCGTCTCCAATTGACTTTGCAGCGCAGCCTTCTCCGCATTGATGAGCCCAATCTCCGCATCGCAATGAGCCAAGATCTCTGCTGTAATCTGCGTCCTCTCTGCATCGACCTCGGCGATCTTCAATGACGCTTCAACGTGGAGGTTGTCGCAAGTCACAATGGTCTTTTGACTGATTTCTTCATCCGCGAGTTCGGATTGTGCGTTAATGAGGTCAATACCTTTGCGGATCTCGGCACACTTGGCCTTTCCGGTCTGTTCTTCTTCCATGTACATCATCTTGCGCTCGAGTCTCGTCGTGTCAATCTCCTCCTTGTAGTGCAGCATCTGCATGTCACTCAGCTGCTTCATGTTCTGCTCTTTGATGGCACTCAAATGCGCTGTGCGACTTTGCATCTGCGCTTGGAACTCAGGAGGGAGCGTCACGTTTGTGATGGCAACGCTGGTGATCTCAACACCGTAGGCATTAAATTGCTCATTCAGACTGTGGCGAATGTCTTCCGTCACACAGTAGCGCACCTTCTTCTCGTCTGGAACATCGTGCTCGGTCACCGTCTCCTTTCCCTTGGGCGAGTGGAACTCGTCCTTTACGACTCGATCCGTACGGCAGTTGAGCGCTCCCGTCTTGAATCGCTCACGCATAGTACCATCACGGAGCTGATAGACCTCCGTGTGCTCCACACTGCGAGCGAGGGCCAGCACAGCTTCATCTTGCGCTGCGCGTAGCTGCACTTCGAGTCCGTTTGGACCCAGTTCGTACACGAAACGCCGGACAAGTTCCGGATCTTCGCCCTTGAGCTCGTCGCCCATGATGCGAAGGATCAGACAGATGTCAATGCCTACGGTCACATTATCAGCTGTCTTGCAGCCTTTCACGGGCGTGTCAAACACAATGTATTGTTTCGTGACCAGGTGAGCTACTTTAGTAAACACGGAAGCAAAGTGCTTGCCAGGCGGCCACACCGGCGTACAGCTGCCGTCTGGCTTGACGTAGTCCACATCCCGTCCTTGGCTTTGAACGAGTGCATACGTACCTTCAGGAACGCGAAGGTATGGCTTCAGCAGACTCCGACCAGGGGTGATAATGACCACAGTATTGCCATCGTAACAAGCGCCAAATGTGCGATTCGCAGAGTCTACACGCCCAGTGCTGCGGTACTGCAGCCGCGTTTGGTGCTGCGGGCCACCAGGAAGCGCATCGCTATGGAGTTTACTGCTACTAGCTCCCATTACAAGAATGAAAGAGAGAGAGAGAGAGAGAGAGAGAGAGAGAGAGAGAGAGAGAGAGAGAGAGAGAGAGAGAGAGAGAGAGAGAGAGAGAGAGAGAAGATGAACAAAACGGTAGCCGCGAGTTGCGTAGTGGGTGCAAATGTGACAATGAGCTCGACGTTGTCAATTGTTGTCGTTGTCATGGGTACAACCTCGCGAACGAGTGAGTTGTGTGGGTTGAAGGTCGTCCGTGATGGGTACGAAGCGTGACAACGACTTGTGTTTTTCTTGTAGGTACACGTTGAAGTTGATGTGCGGGACAAGATGTGTGTGTACATTGTATTCCCACATCTGTCCAGCCAGTCTGATACGTTGTGTTCCCCGATGGGTTCAACCCAGTAACGAGTTACAGCCCGACTTCAACGTCATTTTTCAACCCACCGCTTGCTGCTGTTTCCAGAGCGTCTCTCTTCGTCTTGAGAATCGTTTTTGACAATGTCCGACGAGGAGACGAGTCGCTATAGCTACCGAGTGAACCACCTCGTGCAAAAGGACATTGGCAAGCCCATTCACGCGATGAAACACTTTAACGCCAAAGTGCTCGATGGACGGATCCCGATTGTGCTCACGCCGAGCTACCCGAAGGTCGTGACGTTGTTTCTGAAAGTGCCCTCTGGTTTCTGGGTCCTGAAGCAAACGTGGAACGCGCACTCGGGCGTGATGGATCCTGGACTCAAGATGTGCTGGCCAGCGTGGCACCGCGTTTCGCACATTGTGACCAAGCAAGCAGTGACGTACTCGAACCCTGTGCGCGGGTGCCCCACCCTCGACAATGTCATGGTGGATATCGACATCTCCATCAGCTTCCAGATAGGCCCGACGGCCGATGACGCATACACTTTTGTGTACTCGCTAGGAGCGCATCGCTTTGACGAACTGCTTTATAGTCTGACCGAGGAAGCAATTCGCGGTCTGGTGCACTCGGTGCGTCACGACCAAGTGCACGATCTCCGGGAGGAGTTTGCCATGGGGATGAAGACGGACCTGAAGGCCAAGCTTCGATCCTACGGTGTTTTCATTCACAATGTCAAAGTGACGAATGTAGAGTTGCCAACAGCTTTGTCCAAGACGCTGGAGGAGACGACGGCGTTCAAGACGCGCATGGAGGAACAGGAGAAGAACCACGAGAACCAGATGCGGATGCTGCTGAACCAAGAGACACAGAAGCTCACGGCCCTCGAGAAACAGAACGAGCGTGCGATTCAAGATTTGCAGGCTGAGAGTATCCGTGCAGCCATTATTCGAGACGAGCGACGGACGATTGCGGAAGCAAAGGCTCAAGTCACGATTGCCGAGCACAAGTCGAAGAACCAAAACCAAATCAAGGCGGCAGAAGGCTACAAAGCAAACGCTGTCGCGAGTGCAACTGCCGAGACGGTCAAACGCAAAGCTCTCCCGACAGTGGAACTCAACAGTCTCAAGGCGGATTTCGATCAGTTTGTAAGCGTGGCAAAGATGGACGGACACGCAAAGATTGAAGCTGCTAAAAAGGCGGCGGCGGCGATCGTGGTCAGTGCTGAAGCGGAGGGCGTTTCCGCGACGTTCCTCAAGTCCAAACGGGACTACGAGTACAACGAGAAGAAGATTCACATGCAGACTGCTCTACTGGAAGCTGTTCCACTTGTCATTAGCGGCAAGAATGGCGACCAGCTCCTTCAAAGTACTTTGTTGCAACCGCTCACGTCAGCAAAGTAGCTGGTTGTCAAAGTGAGTGTTGGATTGAACACGTAGCTCGCCCAGTGGACCGCATGAAGCTGTCGTTAGCGTTTTCAATCGTCTTTTTTCGGCACATTTGTACGTCTTGGTGCTTTGCAGCTGCGACGCAGGGCACTGATGCCGGCGCATTTGTTCGTACCAAGGGCTTCGAATGAACACTAATCTGCAGCGTGTCTAAATGATGGTCTGATTCCAATGCATTGCGCCGTACGAATACTGCGGTGCACGCACGGGCAGGTTACGGAAGAGAAAATTGGTCCTTCGAAACCCTGAGCATGCACCAAAGTTTCAAATTGGGCGCCACGCCCATGCCCACGTCCACCCAGGCTCAAGGTTTTGAGTCAATGGGTGGGTACGGAGAGCTCCGTTTTGGAAATCTGGCTTGCACCAAATCTGAGCTGAACCCTGAAAAAGCTTTGAGAATGTCGATTTGTTGCTACGACCCCAAAAATCTACTTGAGACACGAAGGATCATCGAACAGTGACATTTGCGTCAACGCCGCCACTGAGTTCCCATTGTCCATAGAGTTTGCATGTTCAACATGGGAACTTCTGAACGCAGTGCTCAATACACGTAGATTCAAATTAGGCTCTGCATGTTCTTAGACAATTGTAACGGGGCACCCTTTGTTTAGGGTGCCGCAAAACTTCACGTACACTAGTACGTGTAGAGGAAGCTAAGCTACTTAAGCGACCCGTTTAAGTAAGGGTAAAAAGAGAACTGTATTTAATGTAGTTAAGCTATCAATATAACTTCAGCCTTTATCGAACTAGAATAATCTATATCGTCGTGTGACGACAACCTGCTCACCACTCATTGCGCGCGTCTAGCAGCGATTGGTGGCAATCTATGGTTGACATGTCTTTTATCAGCCAATCTTGAAGCAGCGCATGAATATAATCTAAAGGGGATAATATTCCTTCAATATTATCCATCTCGGATATTATTGGTAGAATATTGACATGCTAGACAATATTCCCATTGACACCGTTTGGTGTCAATGTCATGTAACGGGATACCCGTTACATCACCCCCTCCCTTATTTATCAATCACCCGTTGATTGAATCAGAAATGATTGGGACAGGGTGACCACCATTGGATCACTCTGGGAAAGGGAGCACTTGTTGGTCGAATTCCATTCATTTGCCAATACAACGCATTGTTTCCAAAACAACGTGAGCTGCTACTGCAGCAGCAAAAAGGCGGGTGCACGCATGCGTCCAGCCGGGAAGAGTGCCTCTTACACCTCAGCAGCAGGCGATTCGTCGCCTGTTGTCGTGAATTTTACACGTGGTGAGTCACCACGTGCGACAGGTACATCCGCTGCGTCTGCAGCGGGTACCTCAAATCGTAATCCAGACGAGTCTGTAATAGAGCTTATCTATTCTGGCGAGTCGGATGATGCATCCGACTTGAAGCCGACTCTTCATGCCTCGGGATCACCCGGGGCGTATACTGCAAGAGCCAGGTTGACTGGCTCTGGTCAACGCGGCGGTATTGTGACCGAGATCTTCGGATCGAGTAAAATTTCGATGACTCTCCGCCTCACGGAAGTCCATTCAACGATAGGACGCGTGGGGATGGTGGGGATGTACCTATACATCACCACGAGCGAAGTAATGTAGGGGATCGGGGTAACACTGGTGCCAGTGCTCATGCTGGCGCCAATCAAGAGGCCAGGGACTGAAATGTCCTGCGCCACGCTCCTAAAGTGGATTCTCCTTAAAAGCCGTCATCCAAGCAGTTGGACCGGTTGGCCGGCATGACTACCGAACGGGATCGAATCCCGTTGTTCGATTGCAGGAGGATTTGCCCTTCGATTCCAGCACGGAAACTATCCGTGCTGGGGAAGAGCTCTTCACCGATGCGTTTTTCAAACGTCGGTGGTACAATGGCAACCGTGTTCGAGACGGAAAAGCCTTGGTGCAAGGATGGAACGCCCTCACCTATATCATCAAGTTCATTGGCCGTGAGGCCTGGCTCGCCAAACTTGATGCAGCTCGCATCAGGTTTAAGAAACGCAACCTAGTCGGGGCGCGATACAAGTTGCAACGGATTCTAAGAGAAACAGGATTACCCTGTCTTTCGTGGGGTGATTCGTGTCCAGGTTGCCTGGACAACTCGAACCGTGCCCCTAGGAAGGACTTCCTTCCTAATGATCCCTGCTGGAGGGCGCACATCTCTTTCGAGATGGCCGAAGGGATTGAAACTTGCAATCCCTGTATTCGCGTTCGAGGAGGTCGTTTTCCGACGGCCCTTCTTCGAACGCAGCGGGTGGGTCTCGTCATACTGCTCGACGAGACCCAGGACATCAACAATCAGCTCGGCACGAGGCTCCCAGCTGTCCCACGCCCATGGATAGCCACGCCAGCGGACGAGGTAGCTCGTCCGGACGCCCTTCACATCGCGTTGGCTCAAAATGCGCTCCACTAGGAAGCGTTGACCACCGCTTGAGTCCACCAAAGGATGTGGCGGCGGCGGGAACACCTGATCCGGCTCGAGGGTAGGATTAGCTTGATGATCAAGAGCTGAACCGTGTAACGGAACAGCTGCAAAATGACCTGGCTCACGAACGGACTCGGCGTTAAGGGCTTGAGGATCTTGTAAAAGATAATTAAATTCCTTATCGCACGATCGTTCGGACGATCGTGCCGCGTTTGCGTTCGCAAAACTTGAGAACGAACGTTCGACTCGTTCTTTTCGTGATGAGCTGGCTGTAGCTCGTCGAGACATCGCTGAACTGCGTGAACAGGTCGCTTCGCTAGTCGACCAGACTGGATCGCTGAAACGGGACTACTCGAAGGAGGTCTCGGCTCTCGATCGCGGAGGTGTTCTTCGCATATCGAAACGGGCTCGTACTGATAGTATGGGCGGAGACGTCCAACGTTAAACGTAGGATGCGTACGCATCTTGCGGGGCATTTCAATCGTGTATGCGTTGCCCATTCGGCGCAACACACGAAATGGACCGATGTACTTGGGCAGTGATGTAATGCTGCCCACGTTTGTCACTGCGTCTTCGGTAAGTTTACTGAAGCAGTGAAACTAGGTCTCCTTCATTAAATGAAAGAACGTTTGCTCTTCCATGGTTGACTGCGTTTCTCTTCTATTGCCTAGTGCATCTGCAATCGAGTCTTGAACGAAGCGGACAATCGCTTCGCGAGTCAGCAGAAATTCCTATGCTAGTTCATCCTTGTCAACAGCAGTGCGCTTATTGTGCACTGCTGAAAGAACGTTATCTTTACCGGTGAGGGTGTCATCGTCCTCACTTTGGCAGTCATTGGCGATGCTGAATCTACCAGAATCGTCGTCGTCATCATCATCGATGTCGATCGCATCGACATCGGCATCCATCACGTCGACACCATTGTCGACGTGTGATGAGCAAGAACCAGTCCGGGTTTCGTCCAAGCGAGTCCACCCCCCTGGAACTAGAGTCACACTTTAAGAAGGCGGGTAAACGTGGATGGCGTATGCCGTTCACGCTTACAGTGCATGCGTTGTCGACGCGTGCACCGAGTTGTTGATGGCGAATTCCGCCATCGGCAAGAGCTCACTCCAGCTCGTAAACGAGTGGACATGCCCTCAAAGTATCTCTTCGAGAACGCGGTTGACGCGCTAAATTAGTAGTGATTCCAGAATTTTTTCAAGCGTAGGGAAACGTGTGGTAGCGGCAGAGGTCGCTGCACTGATAAATTCTCTTTGCACTCGGTAATCCACTGTGAAAGCCTGCTCTTTCAAACAATTCTACCGCCCTCGCTAGTTCTGACAGCACGTTGTTGCTTAAATGCGTACGTGATCATTTCATATGCATAAAAATAACAACGACAGTGATTTTTTCTGTAACCGAAGAAATAATATATGTAGTCGCATGTTTATTCTGCTGGAGTCTATTCCAACATGCCATTATTGTAACGGGGCACCCTGAAGCTTGTACTGATGACAGTACAAGCTACTTATTCTGATGACAGAATAGGGCGGTGCCTCGGAACTTCACGTACACTGGTGCGTGCAGAGGAAGACGGTAAGAAGAAGCGAGTACTTGGTTAAAGTAAAAAGTAGAGCTGTATTTATCATAGTTAATGTCTGTTAATAAATCACTATTTATCTTCATCTAACTATGTCTAAATACAAATGTGTAAATCAACTATCTGCTCACCACTCATTGCGTGCGTCTGTCGTGGCGCGTCTTCGTTGGTTGATATAATGGCCTATATCAACCGATTAGGAACTACTCGTAAGTGCTACAGAGTATTTGTCCTTATGAAAATATTCTGAGAATATAACTCTTATAGTTATATTCTATTAACAATTTCTTATAAATTGTAATGTAACGATTCACCCCGTTACATCACCCCCCCTAAACCATCAGTCACTTTAGTGACTGATTGACTAAATGGATACTCGTCCCAAATCATTTGGGACGGGGTTTGCACTTGTTGGTCCGAGTCCACTTTCCAACATTTCATCGCATGGTTAACAAGCCCATGCGATGCGCGAGCAAGGCCGCCGAGAGCACGACTCTGTGCGGACGCCGAAGCAGAAACCGCTGCGGCCGATGGGTCATCGGTTGCTCAAGCGACTCAGCCTGTGTCACTTGGTGATGCAGGCGCTGGTCATGAAGACACTCATGTCTTCACAGAGTATGAGCTCGGTGTCTCATACTCTCCTGATACGGAAGAGGGATCCGTATCGACGGCGATTGAATCTAAGCCGCCTGCCAAGCGTGGCATGGATGATGCTATGCGTCGTAGCATCTTTGGTTCGTCTGACGAATCAGATGAACCATCGCCAAAGCGAAGGCGTTCGAGGTCGCGAGACTCGGGCGCTCACAGTGGTGTCGGTTCTCCTATTGACACCACTTCGCAACGAGGTGCCAGTATTTCTGTCGGCACGTCGCAGGAAGAGCGGAACCGCAATGTCTTGCGTCTCGCTCCCGAAATGAAGGCATGGATGCCTCCTAAATCTGTCATGGATCGCTTGTCGGCGACGACGAGTGATCGTAATCGAACACGGTTGTTCGGTTCATCAAGGATCCATCACCTTGACCCCAGTGCGAAAGACTATCACACTGAACATGATTTCTTCATCGATGCTTTCTTTAAGCATCGATGGTACAGTGGGAATCACAAGCGTGATGGTCCCTCACTACTTCAAGCGTGGAACGCCTACATCCATAACCTTGAGGATGTAGGTCGTGACGCTTGGAACGACAAACTTATCGAAGCTCGTGATAAGTTTGAAAAGCGAGCCCCGACAGGTGCACGCTACAAGCTGCATCGTCTGTCAAGGGAGAAAGGATTACCCTGCCTCTCATGGGGAGACTCGTGCCCGTGTTGTGTGAACAACTCTGCACGAGCACCTAAGGAGGCTTACCTCCTTACCAGCCCGTGGTGGCGCGTACGTATCTCTACTGAGATGTACGAAGGGATTGACAACCTGAAATCCCTTTACGACCGTGCCGGGAAGACTTTATCCGGCGGTCCTTCTGCGGCACAGGATGTGCCGCGTCGTACTGTTCAACCAGACCCAGTACGTCTATCATCAGTTGGGAGCGGGGCTCCCAAGTATCCCAGGACGGGGGGATAACCGCGCCACCGGACGAGATAACTCGTCCGACGTCCGTTCACGTTGCGGTGGTTCAACAGCTGCTCAATCAGATAGCGCTGTCCACCGCGAGAGTCCTCTAATGGAGGTGGAGGAGGAGGAAAGACGCTCTCCACACGATCGTGGGTATCCGTGTTCCCGAGAGCTTCTTTGATCGCGTAACGCAAGGGTTACGCGGCGATCTCGAGCATGAGCGGGACAGGCGTCTTCAACTGGCGGACACTGTCTTGAAGCATCGAGCTGAGTTTGCCTTTGCTCAGCTTGAGAACGAGAGATCTCTGACGTCTCTGCGTGACGAGCTAAGGGTAGCTCGTGTGGATGTTGACCGGTCTCGGGCTGAGATAGCTGCTCTTCAGACCCTTTTTGATATCCACCATCGGGAGCACAAGGCTATCTGTGAGATGCTTGAGCGCAAGGGCGTTCTTCATCGGAAGAAACAGCGTACTGATGTTACGGCTTAAGCCGACCAACGTAAAACGTGGGATGCGTTCGCATCTTACGTGGTAGCTCGATCGTGTATGCGTTGCCTAGGCGGTGCAATACACGAAATCGGCCGATGTACTTGGGTAGAAGTTTACTACTACCCAAGTTAGTCACTACATGCTTTGGTAGATTAACCGTAGACAGTAGGACTAAGTCACCTTTATTAAATAAAAGATTGTTTGCCCTTCCATTCTTGTCAGCGTTTTGCTTTTGCTTATCCACCGCTTCGGCGATGGAATCTTGCACAAAACGGACTACCGTTTCACGAGCTAGTATGAACTCATCTGATGACTCGTTAGCTTCAGTGCGCTGTGAGTGCACTACAGCAACATCGATCTTTTCTTCGGTGAGGACTTCTTTGCTCTCACTGGCATCATCTTCTTCGATATCGATGTTGTCGATATCGGCATCAAACGTAATGACCTCTTCGTCAGAGCGTGATGAGCGTGAACCAAATCGGTTTTTGCTCGCGCGAGTCCCTCCCCCCCTTAAACCAGAGTTACACTCGAGTAAGATGGGTATACGCGGATGGCGCAAGCCATTCACGGTGTATGTGTCGTGGACGCATGCACCGAGTTGTTAATGGCAAACTCTACCATTGGCAAGAACTCACCTTAACTCTTAAAGGAGTGTACGTATCCTCAAAGTATCTCTTCGAGGACACGATTGGCGCGTTCCGTCTGACCATCTGACTTTGAATGATCAGATGTCGACATCTTCAAGCGCGTTCCGAGTGATTTGAACACGGAACGCCAGAGATCAGCAGTGAATCGTGGATCTCTGTCTGATACGAGTTCACGGGGCAACCCATAAAGTCGGAAGATGGGGTCAATAAAGACTCAAGAACAGCCACTTGCCGTGATTGACTCTGGTACAGCCACAAGGTGTACCATTTTGCTGAATCTGTCAACAAATACAAGAATACCCGCATTCTTGCGTGTGTCTTTGGGTAACCCGAAGACAAAATCGATTGAGATGGATTCCCAGCACTCTGCCGGAACTGGTAGAGGCTGTAAAGGTGCACGCAGTGAAGGACTTGACTTCACTCGTTGACAGACTTCGCATGCGCGAACACACTTTCGCACAAACTGATACTGGCGGGGCCAGTAAAAGTCCCGACTCACCGTGAGATATGTCTTCTCACGGCCACGATGTCCTCCTATAGGAGAATCGTGACACTCGAACATGATCCGCAAACGCAGATCAGTATCATCTGGGATGACAACACGTGGTGTGTCACCAGAAACGGCTGTATAACACAGTAAACCGTTGCGAGTAGTGTATCGATCTGATGCAGATCGATACGTAGACGATAATCGTTTCAACGATTCTCGAGATGGTTGTGAGAGATGTGTCAACAACTTCACAATCTCACCATCTTGGGCATACGCCCTCCTCACATCATCGTGTAACGTTGAAGATGGTATTGTGGACGTCATAACCGCAGCAGTGGCTGTCTCACTGTTGGGTTTCACGACTGGTTCAAAGTCGGGCCGACATGAGAGTGCATCAGCGACGACATTAAGTCGTCCTGGTTTGTACTGTACCGTAAAGTTGTACTCTGCAAAGAATGAAAACCACCGCGCCATTCGTTGTGAAAGGTGCGGGCTGTTCACTGCCGTGCGTAATGACGCATGGTCAGTGTAAACAATGAAGGGTCTATCTCCTAAGAGATAGACTCTGAACTTCGCGAGTGCATACTTCATGGCAAAGAGTTCCTTGTCATGCACTGGATAGTTCCGCTCAGCTGGTTGCAGCTGACGCGACTGATAGCAGACGACGCGTTCAACGCCTTCACGATCGTGCTGCATTAATGCACAGCCGATTGCGAAATCGCTGGCATCACAGACCACATGAAATGGCCTGTCCTGATCGGCAATTGCTAGGACTGGGGATTGTAGCAAGCTCTGCTTGATACCATCAAAGGAGCGCTGACATTCAGCGTTCCATAACCACCTCTCGTTCTTTTTCAACAAACGAGAGAGGTGTACAGCCATCTCGGCGTAATTGCGTGAATACTTGTGCAAATACGCCGCTAGACCAAGGAATTTTCGAAGACCTTTGACATCAACTGGCACAGGCCAGTCAGTGATCGCCTTGATCTTTTCGGGATCAGGACGTACACCGTTCTTACCAACGGTGCATCCAAGAAGTGGTATTTCGCTTGCTGCAAATATACACTTCTTGAGATTGGCATACAATTGATGCTTTCGCATGATTGTAAGATCCTGTCGGACGTGGTACCTGTGAACCTCAACATCCGA